TCAGACGAGATCAACTTTTGCTGATGTTTTTAAGTTCCAAGTATCATGTTTCAGGTTTTAGTTTCAACGAGATCAACTTTTGCTGATGTTTTTAAGTTCCAAGTATCATGTTTCAGGTTTTAGTTTCAACGAGATCAACTTTTGCTGATGTTTTTAAGTTCAAGTATCATGTTTCAGTTTCAATTACGACCTATTTATGCAATAATTTTACATTAAATCCACCAAAAGCAATTACATTACCCAACCAAATATTTTAAATAAATTAAAGTCAACACACAAACAACTCGAGACAATAAGACAAACTAAAATGCAGAATAAAGAAACTGTGATTAAAAGATATAGTATATAAGGGTTCCCTCTATTCAAACAAACGCCTCAACATATATATTATTCAAAAAGAACATGAAATGAGAAGACCAAACACAAAAATTGTATAGAACAAATAGCAAAAAATCCGCGCGTAGCGCGGACAAACCACTAGTAGTATATATTTTTAAGCCTAATGCAAACGCTTTAAGTACTTCTTCCCCTCCATAGAGTAGTCTTCAGTCAGCAACAAGTAGGGAAAATAAAAAGAGTTGTCAAAACATATATATTGTCTTTTTGTCACATACATCAATTAACATGACTACTCAAAAAAATTAGTGGATATTTCAACTCAAAAAATAATGACATAATAAAGTCAAAAGAAATTTTCATTTCAAGAACCTTTGAGATAGTCATTAGAAATTCATTATACATGTGTTATTTAAGTCACTTAATTATTGTAAAAAATTACTTTATTGATGTATAATAGATGGTACTATTTCAACTGTAGCATATTTTTTACTGCAACTTATTATAATTTTAATTAACTAAAAGTATTTAGACTATTCTTCTCTCCTCTATTTTATGTTTTTTACTAATCTAGGGTTACTTCGGATTTATGAAAGGTCCAAATTGATTTTCAAATTAATATTCATTGAACTGTAATTGGTAGATGGATCATTTCTCTATATATTCAAATGGACTATAATTGATGGATTCATATCTGCGTTATGACATGATAAAATTTAGTAGAGTTCTTCTAAACTTAAGAGTTTGATTGGAAATAGCTATATTTTTTGTTGTTGAATTAAAACTGTAGATATTTTTTTGATGTAACTGTGAATAATTTTTGCTGTAAAATTTTGGCCATAGGATTAAAATGATTTAATGACTTACATATCTTATATATTAAAACATAAGTCATGACTTAGTTCATGTGTGAGTTTTTAGTTTGGACCAACTCTTAAAAAATTATTTAAATTATATTATGTAGAAACATATGAATTATTTGAATTATTCTAGAACAAAATATTTTGGGTTATAGATAGAGTCTACAACATTTTTAAATCACTTGTCAATTAACCTCTAAATTACTTAGTAACCCAAAATTAGTTTATTGACTACCATTACGTGGGTATTCTATTGTTCTTTTTTTTTCAGGTTGTTGTAATAAGTTCTGTTTCACAATATTGGAAAGTAAAAAAAAAGGTGCAAATTTTAACACTTCCACCCCCAAAAAAAAATTTAATAAATCCCCTTACACAATACCTAGGAAGATGTGACGGGGAGTTTAGTTAGGTAACTTGGAATTCGAGTAATGGTGAGTTAGTGACTAATGCCAATATATTATTTAAACCTAAGGAATACAATAATGTTATATACTGTTTTGTTTTTATTATAAGTGTGACTTTCGATTTGTGCACAAAGATTAAAAAATAATTAATTTTATCTATTTTTATATAGAAAACAAAATTATTTATACACCTAACCATATTTCAACCAATATAAAAATAAATTACATAATAAAAATAAAAGAATTTATATTAAAAATCGAAAATGACATTTATTTTATAAAAAAAAAATTATCTATAATGATACTTAATATGAAACTTAGGGAGTACTAAATCAGACTTTATAGTGTATATGTTCCCTCATGAGTGATATCCGATCATACAGTAATATTTTACAGTTTTGTTAATAATGAAACTAATAAACGTAAGGAATACAATAATGTTCTTTTGCAAAAAAAAAAAAAAACGAATGCAGTAATGTTATATATAATAAGTATATATTTTTCGGTGGGGTTTGAACTTTGTGTAAAATAATGTTGGATATTTTGAAAGATAAAAGGAGTTGAAAGCTCTGTATATCTCACAGGCATATGCTCCAGGAAGTTTCACTACTTTATAACTCTCTCTCTGTCTCCATTCTTCCTTCTTCTTTCCATAGAACAACCCTTCACTAAACACATTCTATTCCTCTCTATCTTGCACACTTGTTTAGATACTCTAAAGATCTCTTACTTAAAGATTTAATTTTGTAAAAAAAGATTATGGAGCAAAACAATGCTCTTCTTACTTGGGCTTACTTCTCTCATGGAAAGGTAGACATTTTCTTTTCAACATTTTGGTTTTCATCTGTTTTATGAAACACTAAATGATGCTTTCTTCATTTATTCACTAGTATGCTTAGATCTATGCATAATGTATCTTCCAAGACCATATCTTTGTTCTGAGTTTTCAAAGTCTGTCTGTGTCTCTTTCAGAGGTGTTCTTAATCCTGCAATTGCATGACTTCTCTTTAAGGTTTTTCAAAATTTTAGCTTATTTTCCGCGTTTTTGTATTAAATTTAGCTAGAAAAGACAATAATTTCGAGGCTAATTGCTTAATGTATGACCTAAACCCTAATTCTTAAATTTAGGGGTTTTCTCTGTTATTTTCTGATTATTATTATTTTTTTCTGGTTCAGACAATGGAAGAGCTAAGAGAGACTCTTGTCTACACGACAATGGAGTTGGAACAAACGAAACTTGTAGCTCAAGAGGAACTAAGGAAGAGAGATGAACAACTGATCCATCTCGAAGATGTTTTAACCAAAACCCTCAAAGAAAGAGACGAAGCTCTCGAGAAATGTCACATTCTCTTGTTTCAACAGCAACAGAAGCAGAAGCAGAATCATATCACTCCTCCTCTATCAGGAGCTTCAAGCATCGAAGAAGACGAGCAACTTCAGCAACATCACCATAGCTTCTCGTCTTCAGACACTGACGAAAGCATCATAATGTTACCATCAGTGATTGATCCGAACCAAACAGAGATAATGGCTACACTGTTGCTGGAAAAGCCACTGCCTGAAAAGGGAAGTCTCTTACAAGCTGTTCTCAAGGCAGGTCCATTGCTTCAGACACTACTCTTAGCTGGTCCTTTGCCTCAATGGCGCCACCCTCCGCCACCACTTGAGACCTCTGACATCCCTCCGGTCACCGTCCCACCCCCTCAGTTTCAGAGCTCAGTTGGCTGTGGGAATTCAAACAAGAGAAGAGCGTTCTCAATCTCAGATGGGTCTTATCCAGAAACTAAGTACGAGAGAGTTTAGCACTGATCTTTCTATCCTTATTCAACAAAAACAGTAATAGTCTTTCTAATATACCATATACAGATCACTTTAGTTTTATAGTATTAATCTCATTTGGGGTTTTAGTGAGAGTGGTTTTTTAGTCAGTTTAAGTAGGTAGAGTTTGATTTTTTTTTTCTATATTTGTAGTGTGAATCTGATCCATTTAGGGTTTAGATCTTAGAGTAATGATGGGAATGAAACTCCCCTGGTTTAAACTCAAACTCAACAAGAGTTTTTTTACCAAGTGAGAGAGTTTTTGCTTTTTGTTTTTGTTTTTGTTACTTATTGATTTTTGTTTCTGAACCCAATTACACACATCCATGTTTTGGCTCCATGTATGTAAATTTATTGGGTTTTTTTTGTTTTTTGTTTGTTTTTACTTCTATTTGTATGATAAAAAAAATGTAAAAGCTAGAGAGCTGATGTGATGTATGTTTTGGTGTTTAATTAAGACAAATTTTAAGAAGTCTTTTTGTTTGGGGGTGTTTGTTGATTTTGGAAACTTCAAGGGTATATTCATTACAAAAGTTTTTGTCCAAGGTATCTAATGCAATATTTTGTTGGGTGGGAAATGAGACCCGGAAAGTCGATGGGTAAGCCAACAACTGGTAAAGAAGGGATTTGATGTTTTATCACTTTTTGGGGATGTGGGTGGGTCCTGAAGATCTATAACCGGATCTTATGTCTATCTGCTAAAAAGGATTGGGGTGAAAAATTATCATATGGGCCTTTCTCAGATAAAAATATAAAACGATTACAAGTTGGGATTCAAGATTCTATTTGGAATCTCTTTTTAGTCAAACATTTATTTGGAATCTCTTTAAATCCAGATATTTAGAGTCTAATCTGGTCACTGAAACTGATTATCTAGCAAAACCATATTTAAGTCTTGAGGTTAATCAAGATATCAAAATCTACATCCAATAACTACACTGAAATAATTTATTTATTTTTCATTTCGAGCTAATTTATCTTCTATAAAGAACACTCTTGCTAGTAATGAAATGGTAATAGTTGTAGAACACGATGTGTCTTTAAAAAAAATTTAAGTCGAGGTTTAAGTTTTTTTTTTTTTTTTTTGAGAAATGGCGAGGTTTAAGTTGATTAAAATTTTGAGAAATCCGGGAAACAATTACGGGAATAGAGATTTAGCACTACGGAATTGAAAAAATGGAATGCGACGTATTTGACTTGTCTTATAACCTCCTAACCTTTTAGATCATGCAGTACTAGAATGAAACACCTGATTTAGTGCAAAGACGTTATGGGAAGGAAACAAAATTATTTCTCCACAAATATTTCGTATATTGTGCCATAAATTACGTGAAATTTTATGCGCAAAGATCATGAAAAAATAATTTCTTGATAAGAAACTTGTAACGGACCACAAAAACATTTTAATTTAGAATTAGAAGCTTTTATGGTCTATAAACAAAATATTACTAGAGCAGAGTTTTGTTATTGTCACCGTCTTCTAGACATATTGTCCAAGCCTTTTGAAGTTGGTTTCATCACCTGCATACTGGCTGGCTTTCTCCTTTTTGTTTGATGATTTTGTTTAAGAGTAAAATTTATTTTCTTTTTAATCTCTTTGATTTTATGCTTGCTCAACCGTAGAGATTCCAAGTAAATACTTTATCTCTTAAAAATATTTTTAAGAAAACTTCAACTGAAACATCATTTATAATTTAACAAAAGTTCCAATAACTATGAAAGTAATTACAGAACAGATATATTAAATAAATTTACTATATGCATAAAAGTGTAAGATTATTTTATATTTTGAAAATATTTTATACATTTAAAGTAGGGTAATATGCAGGGGCGAATCCAAAGATTATTCTCAGTGGGTGCACAAATGTTAAAATAGTTATAAACTTACATATGATTATAGGTGTAGACATCAAATTTGTTAAGAAATATACTAAATTTTAAAATTATTGTGGGGGCAAGTGTACCCATAATCCTCTACCTAGGTTCGCCAATGGTAATATGTTTTTTCATTCAATTACCGTGCCAGTAATCTTACTGTATCCTGTTATAAGTGTGTCCCAACTCCCAAGTCTATAAGGTGCCTTGTGGATTATGATATTGAAACTTTATCTAACTTCATTCATTATTGACTTACTAATGTTGAGATAAGAAAAAATCAAATATTTAGTCGAGAGTTATAGTTGTACTATAGTTGTAGTATATCACATACTTAGAACTCCAAAACAAGTTTTCTATCCATTTTATTAATATATTTCCATGTACTAGTAGTAATGATTTAATATGCTTAAGGGAAAAGTAAAGACGTACGAGTGATTATACAGAGATTGCATACTCTATTAATTGGTCTTTTCCTTAAAGCAAATACTCTCTTAATTGGTCTTTTCCTTAAAGCAAAAGGCCAAAACTTGGTATTGCCTAAAAATGATTTCAACACTAGCATAGTACTTTTCTTTTCCAGACAAGAAAAAATTTCGATTGTACGAGAAAATCTTGTTTTTCTTCTCTTTTGAAGCCCTACAATGTCATGATTATGTTAATTCCTTCTTTTTGCTAGTTTAATAGCCAAGGAAAATGAATATGAAAAAAAAATTAACGAACACCTAAGTACATATATATATATATATATAGTTAGCACAAATATATATATATATATATATATATATATAAATAATTTTATGAAATAAAATTGTCATAAGTATCAAGGTAAGTATTAGCGATACCGGCACCGAAAGATCGTATAAAAGCACTCACATATAAGTATCAGGAAATTATATTCAGGGTTGCTCCAGGTTTATTGGATAGGAACACAAATTATATGTTACTGCGCTAGAAGAAAACGTTATAAACACTAATTTAAACCGCCTATGCGCAGATTCTTTAAACCGCATAATATTGGTGCCAACTTCCAGCTCAAGTTAACCATTACAAAATTAGTCTATCTACGGAGGTTAATTAACTGCAAACGATATTCGTGGCCTTTGTTTGGAATGCATATTCTTCTCATCTTTAATATTTAACTCGGTAAATATTCGCGATACGCTGTGAAAATTCATAATTTTAACCAACAAAGGATAGAATCACATATTACTTTTCAGTGTGTGGATGCATATTTCTAAGTTTGAGGTTCCATTAGTTCAAGGAATATATTGCTGCCAGCAAATAAAAACATGATAAAACTTTCTGAATTTGTTGTGTTTTTTCCAACCAATCATAGTCGCCAAAATCCAAACAGCTTCGAACTAACTAACTCTTATCAAAGACCAAAAACAAATTAAACAACCAAATTTTATAGGCTTTTTTACACATCCAAAGATTCACACCTTCTTTATAGTTTTTTTTAAAAGAAAAAAACTATAGCTTCTCTCGTTTCTTGACCCATATCTATGAACACATCGACCTATATCGGCGGTTGCAGATCCTTAATTTTCAACACCTCTTCTTCTGGATTATGGGAGAACCTAAATTCACCATATGTGGTTTTCGGCTACTCACTCCCTCTTTTGGAGATTCAGATATTTCTTATATTCATCTTCATCATCACGTCTCACATGTTCTTTAGATTCATCGGCATTTCCCAAATTGCGTCACACTTCATGGTAACATATAACGTGACAGGCACGTAAGATACTAATAATAAAACTTTTATAATACAAAACATACGTAACTTGACAAACACGCTACCTATTTTTCCAGGCTGGTCTGATTTTAGGGCCACAACTGTTCGATCTTTTGGAGAAATCGTCAGAAAAACTATCCTCAGATCCTGCGTTGGATGGAAGCGCGACGTTAAGAGGCGTCGGAGTATGTGGAAACATTTTACTTACCTTCTTAATGTCAGTTAGAATTAGCCGTCGATTAGCATTCAACAGCGGGCCGTTACCAATCGTGATAGGGGTCTCGACCTTCATCGTGCCACTCTTCGTCGGCTTATGTTTCAGGAACCTCTACACGGACAACATAGACCCTTACTACATGCCACCAAAGAAAGTCCTCGCAGAACGCACCGTGATGATCTCAAGCCAATCTTCTATTCTCTTGCCCACGGTGACTTTTATCTTGTTGGAGCTCAAGATCCTTAACTCGGAGCTTGGTCGCCTTGTTTTGTCTGCATCCATGATCAACGACGTTCTTGGGATAATTGTAAGCATACTCGCTTATTGTGCAGGAACGTACAAGAACGTCTCCCCAGCGACGGCGTATCGTGACTTCATAGCAATTATCATTTTCTTTCTAGTAGTCTTTTTCATTTTTAGGCCGGCCGTGGAGTGGATAGTACAACGCACGCCGGAAGGCAAACCCGTGGCGGATAAGTACATACATGCTGCGGTTTTGACCGCGTTGGGCTCTGCCGCTTACTCGACGTTTTTCAATATGAAATACCTATTGGGACCATTCACTGTCGGCCTCATCGTACCAGACGGTCCGCCTTTAGGATCGGCATTGGAAGCTAAGTACTACGATTTGACAAAGAACGTGCTGATACCGATCTCTATCGCATTCAGCACGATGAGATGTGACGTGATGAAGATCGTTTATGAGTTTAATGACATCATTTACAATATGTTTTTATTGGTTCTGACGCTATTTATCAAAATGGCTGCTGGAATTGCACCTTGCTTGTACTGCAAGTTACCGCTAAAGGAGGCTTTCGCCGTTTCCATCCTCTTATGCTGCAAGAGTTTCCCCGAAATATTTCTCTACGAGTCCACATTTGACGATTCGGTATTCCCTTGATCCAAAAATTTATATTTTAAGAGTATTAGCGACTACATAGATTTTCTAGAGTACTAGCGACTAGGTAGACATATTATTAAGGAACGAATCATAGGTGTTAATAAACTATTAATCTATATATATATATATATAACATTTATATAAATATTTTAGTGTTGGGTTTATTCATAAATTATTTGATGAATTATCGAAATTAGATATACAAAACAAAAGAAATTAGACAAATTTGTAGGGTCTTTTTACTAACATTATTAATTAATTTATTAGTTTTTGACTAATAAATTTGAACGATTAATAATATTTAAACTGATTTAAGTTGTATAATATAAATTTTTAAAAATTGTTTCGATTAGAACAGAGTCTGGGGCCTAAGCCCCGCCTGGCAAATTTTGAGAACCATGATTTTAGTCATGATCTTATATTATTTACATGATTCGTATTCTTCTTCTTTTTTTTTTTTTTGCAGTATATATCACAGGCAACGTACACGTTCTTGGTGGTTTATGCACTACTAAACTCTGCGATAGTTCCCGCAGTCTTGCCTAGTTTATACGATCCAAAGCGGAAGTACATAGGCCACCGAAAAAGAAACATCTTTAGTTTGAAACCAGACTCAGATCTTCGGATCCTGACTTGTGTCCACAGACCTGAAAACATCACTGGAGACATTGCACTTCTCCAGTTATTTTCCTCCCCTATCATGGTAACCATCCTACACCTCGTGAAGCTCGTGGGTAAGATCATCCCTGTCACGATCACACACAACATGAAATCAAACAACCAGATGAATAACTCTTACATCCACACGGCAAACCTTGCCTTCAGCGAGTTGGATTCAGTGACCACGACAATGTTCACCGTCATGACACATGAGAATTTGATGCACGATGAAATATGTACACTCGCGCTCGATCAGATCACGTCGATGATCATCGTCCCATCAGGGAGGAAATGGACCGTAGAAGGAGCGTTTGAGTCAGATGACGAGGCTATAAGGCGTCTCAACGTGTCATTACTCGAGCATGCGCCATGTTCTGTTGGGATACTAGTGGACCGTGGATATAGAGGTACGAGAAAGTACGAGGTAGATGTTGGTGTGATCTTTATTGGAGGAAAAGACGATAGAGAGGCACTCTCTTTGGTTAAGAGGATGAAGCTTAACCCTAGGGTTAATTTAAGTGTGATCCGTTTGGTCTCTAATCAAGAAACAGAGACGATGAATTGGGAACACGTTCTTGATCACGAGGTCTTAGAGGATCTGAAAGATACACGTGGCACTAATTGTGTTGCGTATACGGAGACGACTTTCACGGATGGTCCTGAAGTAGCAAACACTATCCGATTGCTCTCTAAGGGTTTTGATCTAATGGTGGTTGGGAGAAATCATGGCTTGGCAAGACCTGACTTCTCAGGAGTGACAGAGTGGATTGAACTATCGGAGTTAGGTGTCATCGGAGATTTGCTAGCTGCTAGAGAACTCAAATCTAGGGTTTCTGTTTTGGTAGTTCAACAACAACAGACGTGAAAAAGATATACGTTTGTTTATACGGAAATGTAATTATATATTCGTTATCAGTTTTCATACATTCTCCTTCTTTTATGGAATTCTCCATACAAATTACAAAGAAAAAGCCACCATTAAAACAATGAACTTTTAAATCAAAGCAAAAACAATCATTTGTGTAATCAGATTCAATGATTCACTAAAACTTAATATGTGCATCCACAGGCACATAGGTTTTTATTTTAATAGAATAAACATATGACACTTTTATAGCACAACAATGTAATAGTTGCATAGATATACATCTACATGGATGTCTGTTTTCACTTTGTAGTATATAATATTTATGTTAGATATTATGGTTGGATACCAAACCAATAAAAATGATATAACATATTCATTAATTAGTATAGTTTTTAATTATATTAACCATTTTTACTGTGTTTCTTTATAAATTAATATATCAATTATTATGTTTATGTATATTATTAACATCTATCTTTCCAAAATAAAATATTATATGTCAAATAAAATTAACTTCTGCTTTAATAAAATAAATATATACTCCCTCTGTTTCATAATAATTGTCATTTTAGACTTTAGCACACGGATTAAGAAAACAATAAATTTTGTATATTTTCCATATAAAAACACAATTACCTATATACCTAATCTTATTTCAACCGATAGAAAATATAATACATAATAAAATTAATAAATTTTGCAGTGAAAACCGAAAACGATACTTAATTTGTAACATAATTTTTTTTCTAAAACGACACTTAATATAAAACGGGGGGGGAGGGGAGTATGTTTTTAAGTTTTTATAAGCCAAACAAATTTTCTTCTATGTTTATTTCTGCAAGTTACATTCTAAATAAACCTGCTTAATTTTATTGTAAACATTGATCCATGAATATTCTTAGAAAATAATTTAACAAAATAAATGATTTATAATTAAATAAATAATAATCATTAAATCAGTGGTATAAGTTGTAATTATTATGAAGAATGAAAAGTTATTTTAAAAGGTAATTCAGCTTTCACAATATAGATATAATCTAAAACTTTATTGGACTTTTTGTAGAATTGACCTGAAACTTGAAGTCAACCACAAAACTAACCTCCCTTTTTTTTGGAATTTTATTTTGCCCAATTCACCCCACAAGTTCATATAATTCACGAAAATGACATCAATTTTTTTTTTTTTTTCAAAAATAACATATTTACTCTCTCACCCTCATCATCTTCAAGTAATTACAAGATTGCCATTGTCATCAATACTCCAACAACCATGAACAACCAATTTTGAAGCTCTTAATGCCTCCAAATTCCATTTACCCTTCTTCTTTCTCTATTCTCATGAACTAAACAACACATTACAACACATATCTCTCACTTTCTCTCCACAAT